GCGGTCACTTTCGGTGGTCAGTCGCGTTACGCCCTTCGGGAAGGAATCCGTGCACGAGCAATAGCGACTCGCGTTGTTACTCGAAGTTTCGGCTCCCAAGGAATCATTGCTTGGACAATGCGGTTGACTCGTCGTCCTGTTCACCGTCGACACGGTTGTCGTCGTCGTTTCTCCCACTAGAAATTTCCTGAAGTGAAATCATCAAATCAGTTATATAGTGTCAATAATTTTCGTCATATTTTGCTGAATTAAGTTTTGCAAAAACGGGAAAAAGTTAATTCTTCTTATTAAAAATATATAATCACGTTTATGATTTATTATCGTTTATCGCAACTTTTCAGTTGAGGTACCGCGAAGCTATTAGCAGCGGAATTTTTTGCGTTAAGGATTAAAGTAAAAAAAAAAAACAAAAAAAAAAAAATTGTCGGCAAAATTGGATACGATTGAAACGCCTGCATATATACAGTACGCCGTAAAACTTGCGTGGATTTAAACCAACCCCCGTAATGGTAGCGATTCGATAAATTCATCATCCAGGACTTTTCTCTCCCTCTCTCTCTTCCCGTTCCTCTTAGCTTAAATCCTAACTTAAATAGACGCGAAACGTGTACCTGGACTAAAGTTCTCAGCGAGTTTGATTACAAGGGAACGTGTCTCCAACTGCACTTACCTTCGGCAAATAAGCTACTGCTGAATTGTTAAAGCTCATTTTCAAAGAATCATGCGATTCGCGCATTTAGAGTTTTCGCGAGGAACTTCCGTCACGTTTCTGCAAATCAAATATTTAGCGAGACGTACGCGCTATTTTAATGCGTCTCGCCGAGACGCGTGTAATCGCTCGTGACAAGAGAGGAGGAGAAATATAATTATTCGAAACATCAAAGTAACTATTCGATTATGTCAAGTATCGTAAGATAATTATCATAACAAGGGAGAGGAGGAGCGATCTCTCTCAAAGAATCAGATTTTATCTTCTTCGCTACCAAGGATTTAATCAAGAAAAAAAAATTCCTTTCGCTCGGCTTACTTTGCGACCTTCGCCTCAGAATCCGTCACGTCAATACGTTCCTCCATTTGGTAATAAGCAACTATCAATAGTCGCATCAGCCGTACGAGTTTAAGCTTGATGATCGACCCGTCGGGTTGAGCTTCTTGAAGCAACAGCAGCCTGGCCCAGTCCGACTTCAGCGTACCGAAGGGCAGGGCGGAAATCGGGCACTTAAATCCGGCGGTCATCATCTTTACGGTAGGCACTTCCGTGAGATCTAATTCGGACAAATAATTCTCGATCTGGTCGACGTCGAGCTTGGCGAACTCCAAGCAGCGATCCGGAATGCTACTCGCGCATTCCGCTGCAAAAAAAGGAAAAAATACGTCGAAGAGCTTGTTTCTCGTTTCAAATCTTTATAAAGCGAATAATCTTTTTTTGGCAGAAATGTGAAAAAATGTAACGTTACAAATACATAATTTTGTTTCTTTTTAATATCCAGAAATAAATCCTTCGATCGAATTTATAGAGATCCAAAAAAAAATAGTTTAATCATGATCGAAAAACAATGCAAATTCAATTCAATATAAGACTGCAAAAAATTAATTTAATTTAATTATTCGTTGTTAAGTTGTAGTTAACTTTTAAGCGCCTATACGATTTTTATTCTTGCGACACGCATTCGTAACGTAGATCTTGAAATAATGTGTAATCTCCGTCTGACGTGTTTCGCGGCGGCGGTAATCCAATGTCGTTAAAGATCGGCGATACCTTCGTTCCGGCGATCCCTTCGGCAAACGTAAAAATGATGTATAGCGTGCGACTTACCGTTGAGAATTATCGCCGCGCAAAGGAGAAGTGAAACGTACGATGACGTTTCTCGCGACATTTCGCGACTCGGACTGTTGCGCGCGGACGAGCGACGGTATGCGCGCATCCCGATTTCGTCGGAATCGGCACATTTTCGAACGCGAACTCGTCGGCAACTCGCGGTAGCACGTGAAATACAAAGCCGTGATTCTCTCGCTCTCCTTGTAAAGCGAGATCGAGTCGCACCCGATCCCTCCGCGCGCCGCGTGTTCGTACGTCCGGGAATGCAGGAAAGTGTTTCCGAACCGCCTGTTTACGCAGCAGGGTCAGCCCATTCGAGAACTTCCTTTGCCGATAATGAAACAGAATCGCGTTTGAATCGCCACTGAATCTGCAACACTAGCGCGTTAAACGTGCACGCTCCCCGCTGAAAATTGTAACGAGAATTTCTTCAAAATTTTCGATATATATTAAATACTTCAACATAGAGCTCGTGTCCCGGAGTTAAAAAAAATTCATGAAATAAAATCCGGTATTAAATAAAGCGTAACATTTTATAGCTTTTTTTTATAGCTTCATCTGCGAGAAGGATTAACTAAATTTTCAATTTTATTGTGTCGAAAACTGTCGATGCCTGTTGCGTATGTGCCAGTTAGATATCTGAAAAAAATCCTCACGGGGATTTCTACCGCGTAATAAAATGAAAAAAAAATCCTACTTTTATTTCTAAGTAAAGAGAAAAAAATTCACATCTGTCGATACGTGTGGACGATTAAAGGAGCAATAAACGAAGACACTATTACCGAGGTAGTTCCATACAGCGTGTCGTTTGTTGATTTATTTTCTGCGCATCTCGTTGTAGATATCGTCATCTTAATACACTCATTCTCACTTTCTTTCCCGTACAAACTATTCTAATTACTCGCTTTATGAAATTTCGCGACGCACTATTTGCAATTGCATTGCATCGACAAACGTTGATACTACTATTATCATCTCTTCGGCCTCACTTTTTTTACAGATACACGCACACACTCTCTCTCTCTCTCTCTCGCTCTCTTTCTCAATATGCATACATATAAAAATTATGTATAGAATCTACCGCACGTCATAATTACAAAGAAACTACGTACATATTTATAACCATCGTAAAAGCAGTATCTCTCTTATTACGAATGCAAATCACATCGACGGACTTGGAGACAGAAAAAGCGATGACTCGTAAAGACAACGTAACAAACTAAAAAAAAGCTCAACAATTTCGCACGATTTTTATATTACAATAATTAAAGGAGAGCCCGAAGAGAGACGCGCTTATCCGAATCCGCACTTACAAATAGCCCGCATTACGGATATAAAAAAAAAAAGATCTGAAAATCGCCCCGCCTGCCGTACACATGTTCGCACACATATATACCTTTATACACGAACTATTTATAATAACACTCTCTCGGTGTAGACGCGTTCTCGTATATCGCGAAATCAAGAGGGCAAGATTTCTCTCTCTCTCTCTCTCTCTCT